AGAAGCACGGCTGCTTCGGACCCTCACAGGAGAAGATCTCGCTGTAGCAAGCGATCCCTGTCGAGGAGACACGCAGACCACGTCGAGGGAGAGAACAAGATGCTTGTCCGACCGAATTTTTGGGCAGCGAAACCTCAGGAGCGCTCTCATCTCTCGGAGAAGGATCAAAAGTACAAGCAGAAATTGGAGCGCATCGAGTGGGCCAAGGAGCAAGCTCGGCACCGTGAGTATCTCCTTCTTGTGAGACTCCGTCTTTCTTGGACGAACCTCAGTCTTTGCACTGAACTCGGCCATGTATCTCCATTTGCCATTCCTGCAGCTCCCGAGTCGTACGAAGAGGATGGCGAGCATCCGCTCCCCTGAACACCGCGAGATGACGCATCGACTCTTGCAGCTGCAGCACCACTCTACCATTCGGCGTGGACATCGTCCTATCGCATTCTTGAACACTACCAACTCATTGCGTCCGGCACTTCTTGCGAAGATCGAGCCGGCATTCAACATGACAGCAAATTTCTGCCACGCATCCGTTTCCGTCTTGACAGCACGACTCGTATCTGTTCTCGTCTCTTCTCCTGCATTCACCTAACCGCAATCCTGGAGATTGTCATCAGTCAGATCCACTCTCGCCTTGTATCTTGATCACCAATGAGAGTACCTTGCACATGCTTCCCTGCTTGAAGGGGCTTGGTATCGTGCGGAGGGAGCTGTGTACGCTTTTTGAGATCAAAGGAATCACGAATTATAAGTAGGAGATGCAGATCCTCGTCATGATGAGTGTGTGTATACTCTTCTGTAGTCAAGGGTAGTCAAGTCAGAGTGTGGTGCGGGCGGCAATAAGTGGGTCTTGTACCTCTGTAGTCACGTGTCATATGATGCGGCGCTTCTCGCACGAGACGCGTTCCACCGCGCAATTTTTGGAAACTGGCAACATTCGGGATTCACGATTCGTGGGTCGAAATGCATGCAGGCACCAGCGCCTTATCCATCGTTCTCATCCTCATGATTCGCGACGTTTGTGCATCAACCTCTCCAGCACCTTTTCAGATTGCCAAACATTTGCGTCTCTGCGCGAGAGCGGCAAGGTACACCCCAGTCAGCCTGGCTAGGAGCACGCAAGAAAGGGACTTCTAAGCCTCTGACCAGTCTCAACCCACACACACAGTGCCTAGGATGGCCAAGCGGAGAAGAAAGTCACGCACGCATGTCAAGGCGGTTAGTAGTGCATAAGTATCGGTATATGGACTGGAAGTGCTGATGATATCCGTCCTCGCTCGTACCGCCAGCCGACCAACTCGGCAGCTTCGGCGGCATCTGGGCCTAAAAGCTTCGTCATCAGGGCGGGCAAGGTCGGAAGGAGCGCATCGGCCCTGGTGACTGATATCAGACGAGTCCTTGAACCGAACACTGCTAGTCGATTGAGAGTGAGTCTTGAACTGATGCGCGTCCCCTGAGTATCTGCTGGC